TTAATCTTCACTTGAGAATATTTATTCCATTGATTTTTAGAGAGAATGAAAGGGAGGGGTAGAGACAGAGATATAAACATGGACGTGAGAGAGACACATGAATTGGTTGCCTCCCCCAGGATCCAGGATCAAGCTTGCAACTGAAGTTTGTGCCCTTGACTGGAATCAAACCCATGACCCTTCAGTCTGCCGGCCGAAGCTCTAATCACTCAGCCAAACCGGCTAGGGCTGAAATGCATTTTAATAAACACTGCCTTTATAATTATTAAAAGTGTGTGTATACATTTTTGAGAAACTCTCTATATACATGTTTACACACACACACCTATAATGGATTTGTCTTTGATTGGTAAGAGTTAATTTGTGATGAAACAAGTGTAGAAAATGCAGATATGACTTACAATTGATCCTCTCTGGGAGCAAGGAGAATTCCCATATAATCAATGAAATATAGCTGTCAATTTATACAAAAAGTGGGGGAACAAATAATTCATCCTGCTCTATTATAATGCTGCTCTCGCTATATTCATATTGTGAAAATTCTAGTTGGCATTAATAGCTTTGAATACCCACTTCCACTTCCACTTCCACTCATTTCTAGAATTCAGATCAGCAGTGTATCAGAAGCCAAATTAAAGAAACGGAACATTCCATCCCACACTCTGACACATGTAGTGGCCAGGCCTGCAATACAGTCCTATTCTGCGAATACCATTAGACTCAGAACCCTTAAACAAATACATTCTTGACAACTGTTTATAGATAATTCTTCTAATCTTTAGCTATTCACAAAGCAGGCCCCATCGCCTCTGTCCTTGAGTTCCACGACCCCATCATTAACCTTTTCTAATGCCTTTTACAGATGCCTGGTGCCTTTTCCCCTCAACTGGAACTCACTCAGGGCCTCCACAGCAAAGTATCAGGTGTCTCAAAGCTCCATAGAACGCACTACAAAGGAAACGTTTGTGGTCCATGGACTTGATCCACTACAGTTAAATAGGATCATCTGATTGTGAGGAGAGGGCCACCTTGACTCAGCGTTTTCCACTTGGACCAAGCGAAGGAGGTTGCTGACTGCAGTGGAAGATTCTACACTTAATAACTTAATAGACACTCTTGCCTTCCAGCTGGCTCGTGGGCCTGAGCATGCTGTGGAAACCTCTACTCTAAAGACTGTGGAAAGCAGCAAAGTGTCATTTGTAGAATTAGCTTTATTTACCAAGTAAGAAAATACCTAAGTAAAACAGGGAGTAAAGCAATATAAAAAAGAATTTTTTCTTCAAGGATTTCTACTTCTACCACAATGTTTTTGCAAAAGCAAAAGAAAAGAAAAGGACTCAAACGTATATGTCAGAAGAAAATGCCTGTTCTTTATTCACGTTACTAAAAAACATCTACTTAGCAGCTTAGAAGCAATTTAGCATTAAGAGCATAGGCAGATAAAATCACAGAATCACCATCACCAAAGGACCAAGTACAATAATCTTTATGCTCAAGATTTCATTTGATTTCATTTAACCACAGGTTTAACCTTCTAAGGAGTGGGCAAAGGCATAGTATACTATTGTGTGTTCTCGGTTGGTCTCTCCAGCAAGTGAGATGTTTTAAAAATGGGTGTAATTGCTCATTCAACTACAACTAGAGCTAATCTAAACCTTCATATAAGAATAATCCAGCCCTAGCTGGTTTGAATCAGTGGATAGAGCATTGGCCTGTGGACTGAAGGGTTCTGGGTTTGATTCTGGTCTAGGGTACATACTTTGGTTGCAGGTTCCCTGGCCCCGGTCGGGGTGCGTGCAGGAGGCAACCAATTATTGTGTCTCTCTCACACTGATGTTTCTCTGTCTCTCCCTCTCCCTTCCACTCTCTCTAAAAACCAATGGAAAGCCATCCTGAGGCAAATATCCTCAGGAAAAACATCCTCGGGTGAGGATCAACAAAAATAACAGCAACAACAAAAAGAATAATCCATACACAAATGAAATTTACTATTTTAGGTGGGCCAGAAAACTTGGAATATCCTGCACTGTAAAAGGGATTTTTCACAAAGCTCTTTCATAAAGTTTTAGAAAAATTAATGAAGTGAAATATTGTAAATCAAGGCTGTGAGGTAAAAAGGCTTGATTTTAGCTCCACAGTCTCACTCATCATTGTCCTCATGATAAAACCGGTGTAAGACACAGGTTGCTTTGAGGATTTAATTAGGTCACAGATGTAATAGTTCAATGAAAATCACTACAATGTAAATGTCAATAAAGATCAGCTATTTTTATTCCTGAAAAGACTCTTCCTTGATCTGGAATACCACATTCTTGTAATTTTCTTCCTTCTTCTGCCCCTTCCTTTCACCGTAGAGTTTTTCTCTCCCCAAACATTAATGTTGAGAGTTTTCAGATTATACAGAATGTAGGTCCTCTTCTCGCTCTGTTCTCTCCCAGTGGGATCTATTCTACCCCCCATGTACTACCTAGAGAACAATAACTCCCAAAGGTGTATTTCTAATTCAGATCCGATTACACACCTGACAACTCAACGTCACCACGTGGATGTCTCAGAGGAACCTCAAATGCATTATGTCTAAAAGCCAAAATCACCATCCTGCCATCCAAACGTTTGCCTATCTCAGTAAGTAGCTTCAAAACCACTGGAGTATGCAACCCAGCCCCCTGGGAGTTACCTCTGACACGTCCTGCTCCTCACTTCTAACTATGTAACCCATTTCCTACCTCTTTCTATTTTACATCTGAAATATGCCCCTTGTCTCCATCACTAATACCACCTTCTGAATCTAAAGCCACTGCCCTATAGCCCCCAAACGTTTTCACAAAAGCAGTCTCGCCTCCTCCAATCCGTGCATGACATGCAACTAGAGTAATATTTAAAGATGCACATGTCCTCCGTTCTTCCCATGGTCCTCTATATTCCAAACACACTGGATCGTTTTCCTTTAAAATGCCAGCTTCTCTCCTCCTTCAAGGCCTCGATTCATCCCCACCTTGTTCCTTCTTCAGGAAGCTATGGGAGGTTGTCCCCTTCCCACCCCTGTATGCCCATAGCTGGCTATTTCTTTCTCATCCTTTATTCCCCTGCTTAACCAATCCCTCCTCCAGAGTGCACGGCCCGTTCTCAGGACAAGGTCGGTCCCATTCATTACACTCTCAGGAAGCACCCTGCACTTCTGCATCAGTGCCTTTGCTATTACTTTGGTGTCTGTTTTCCACAAAAGATAATTAGGGACACAAGTGCAGGGAGCATGCCTGTCTTGTTTATAGTCGCATCCCTTCATCTCAAACACCAGGATTGCCACAAGGAGGCCAGCCAGGACACTGATAAACACTTGCTGCATTAATTAACACAAAAATAGTTCCGGCTTAGTCCTCGCCTTGATAATTTTTCATAATTAGTGAAGAAATGTATGTAAAACGAATTCAGGGCGGACTGTGATAGCTTTGTACAGGAAATGAGCATAAGGACTACTGGATTCTATGAGGGGGGAAATCAATTCTGGGAGAGGAATGAATGAGGCCTATACACGGGAGGCTTCTTTCTGGTGCTGGGTGATCAGCCATGGAGAATTAGCAAGACCTCAACAAGGGAAGGGGAAGAAATGTTCCGGGGAGAGAGGAAGGTTGGGCAAATCCATGGACAGAGACTGGTGAGCAGGCAACTGTGCGCAAGAAGGGAGGTATAATGAATGCAGCAGATGGGCACAGTGTGGAGTGCGTTCCTTATCAGGAGCAAACTGTCTCTCAAAGAGATCCACTGAAGGTGTCACTATCCAAGAATGACAGACAGGAAGGTGGATAACAGATTAGGATGTGCGTGTGGAGACCAGCTAGTAAGCTATTTCAATATTTCAGACAGAAGAGAAGGTGGAAAGAAGGAAAAATAATTCTGCACTAGAATGGATAGTACTGCTAGAATGGGGAAGGGCTATGTCACTGACTAAATAGAAAACCAAAACATGTTGAGAAAGAATGGGTGAAGTGATGAGTTCTGTTTTGGAAACCCTAAAGTTTATGTCCTTACATAATGTTGTGCAGGTAGTTAAAATGCAGATCTAAGAAAAAGGGTGCAAGTAAATTTCAAAAAATATTAGGCTCAGGGAAATTTTAATGGGTACATAATCAACTAAACATCATTGCAAAGGCTTGACAAACATGTTGAAGGTTTTTCCACAAACACGTTTTCTTTAATAATGAAAAAATACAATTTATAATAATAAAAGCATAATATGCTAATTAGACCAGACGTCCTTCCAGACGACCTTCCGGACGAACCAGGGCTTCGAGGGAAGCCTGGGTCCTGGGTGCCAGAGGGAAGCCGGTGCCGGCAGCCGGGGGAAGGAAGGCCTACTCTTGCATGAATTTCGTGCATCAGGCCTCTAGTAAGTAATAAAAGTTCTTTTATAATAACTGCCTGCCCTAACTGATTTGGCTCAGTGGATAGAGCATCGGCCTGCGGACTCAAGGGTCCCAGATTCGAGTCTGGTCAAGGGCATGTACCTTGGTTGCAGGCACCTACCCAGTGGGGAGTGTGCAGGAGGCAGCTGATCGATGTTTCTCTCTCATGTTTCTCTCTCATTGATGTTTCTGGCTCTCTATCCCTCTCCCTTCCTCTCTGTAAAAAATTAAGTAATAAAAGTTCTTTTATAATAACTGCCTGAATTTTCAATATACCTTCTGCCTAATTTTTATTTTATAGTAGTTAGGAGCAAAGCTCATAATTTTACCATAATTTCACCCCTTTTAAAATAGTTCCCTCCAATTGTGGGGATGGAAGGAACTCACTGATGCTGACTTTTTCTCTATTCAGTAGAAGAAGAATATCTTTTATGTTTAAAGAAATGCCGGTCTTTGTAATAGACTCAGTGCAAAAGTTAAAAATGACGTACAGAATTTTTTAAAAGGTCATTCTAATATCAAAATGTTAACATCTGAAATTATGTCATCTTTAATTACTAGGAGAATATCTGAAGAATAATAAAATGGAACACTTACTTTTGCTGCGCCTATCTGTTCTTTTCGAAATTTCTCAAGTGGCGCAATTAATACATCATTGGCGTTTTGAATCTGAAATTAAAAATGCAAATTAATTAAATTATGTATAATTTCATGCAAATATTGATAAAAGATGGCTCATTTATTCACCTTATTTAAATAAACAGCTTTTTTCTCTTGTTCACGTCTATAAATGAAATAAAAATACCTCTCATGTTGTAGTATTTTTCTACTTTATAATTAAGTTGTTCTCACAATTTATATCATTTGGTTCTAACATAATGTAAATAATGTGAAAACAAGTACATGTAAAATCTTAGTTAAATATTTAACTTTCTTATTCTAAGACATAACTAAGAAACAGCATATTGGATAGTAAATTTATAAATACTTTTAATTATACTGTTTCAATGCAGTCAGTTCAAACATCATTTTAAAACTGAACCGTATAAAAGCTCTTCCATTTTGCCACTAGAATATTATAATTCTACAACTGCAAAATAAAATAAGGCTCACTTTTCTTTCCTATTTCATTATAATTCTTACACTTGGGATTTGCTGGAATGTTCTCATATTTCCAACCCTACTAAAATAGTATCTGATTTATTTTCAATGAACAGTATTTTAGCCTCAAACTCCAAATTGGGATTCCCCTAAAACTTTAAAACGTAAATCTTTTAATATTGATCTGTAAGAATATTGTGAGAGGGCTCAAAGTATGGGGGCCAGGGACTGAATGCAAGGAGACAAACATTTCTGACAATAACATTATGCTGGAAGGAAATCTCCATTTAAAAAACCCTTTAGGAAGCATTAAAATTAAACATAGAATCTTACATGTCTCACCACAGAAAGAAATGGTAATTATGTACAGGGTGGAGGTGTTAGCTATGGCCATGGTGGCAATCATTTTGCAAAATAAAATGTATCAAACCAACATGTACATCTTGAGTTTACATAGTGTTATATGTCATTTATATCTCAACTGGAGGCCCAGTGCACAAAATTCATGCACTCAGGAAGGTGGGGTGCCTCAGCCCAGATTGCAAGAGGGCACAGGCTAGGCCGAGCGACCCCACCGGTGCACGATTAGGGCCGGGGAGGGACGCGAAAGGTTGGCCAACTGGGGAGGGACCGCGGGAGGGCTCCAGGATGTGTCTGGCCTGTCTTGCTCAGTCCTGATCGGCCGAACCCCAGCAGCAAGCTAACCTACCAGTCGGAGCGTCTGCCCCTGGTAGTCAGTGCACGTCATAGCGACTGGTCGACCAGTCAATTGTCTGTCCCCTGGTGGTCAGTGCACGTCATAGCGAGCAGTTGAGCAGCCTTAGCATATCATTAGCATATTATGCTTTGATTGGTTGAATGACCAACCAGACACTTAGCATATTAGGCTTTTATTATATAGGATGAAACCTGGCGACAGGGGAGCAGGTCTAATTAACAAAATCTTTTTCTACCACTGTGATAACAACATGATCTATTATCCTATATAATAAAAGGCTAATATGAAAGGCTAATAAACCGAATAGCAGAACGACCGGTCGCTATGACACACACTGACCACTAGGGGGCAGACACTTAATGCAGGAGCTGCCCCCAGGTGGTCAGTGCACTCCCATAGGGGGAGCACAGCTCAGCCAGAAGCCCTGAGCCGGGCTCACAGCTGGTGAGCACAGTGGCGGTGGTGGGAGCCTCTCCCGCCTCCACAGCAGCGCTAAGGATGCCTGACTGCCAGCTTAGGCCTGCTCCCCATTAGTGGGACATCCCCCAAGGGCTCCTGGCCTGCGAGAGGGTACAGGCCAGGCTGAGGCCCCCCCCCCCGCTTCCCCGCCGCAGAGTGCACGAATCTCATACACCGGGCCTCTAGTATAATTAGAAAATGCTAAGATTAAAATAAAAAGCATTTTAAAAATATATTACTCTATTTTAAAATAGGTTAAAGAGTATACAGGAGTGCCTTATATTATTCTTATAACTTTTCTGTATGTCTGAAATTATATAAAAATTTTAACTTCCCACAAAAGGGTTTTACTTACAAAAGGGTTTTACTTATTTTCACTAAACTGGTTATTCTTTAGTCAAGTCTTACTTCTTAAATTCCAGAACCTAAATGCACTGAGATAGTATACACAAAAATAAAAACCAGAGTGTTAATGCCTTCCACGGTTCTGTCATTCTCCAATTTGCAGAAAAAATGAGATGAGAGATCTTAAAAACACAGCCTAAAATCCTGTGCTGTGAAAACACACAAAATAGATCAATATTCAAGATTCTTTCTGAGACACTGAGAGTCTGGACCCATCCATCACCTGCTTCCCTCTGTGAGCTCAGGCAGGCATCCCTGCAGATTCACTGCAGGCCTCTGACGAGAGAGCTGATTGGAAACAGTAGCAAAGCAGCTCACTCTTCATTCTCACTCTCTAAATCCTCGGCGCCTTCATGGAAGCCCAAACACGTATAAACACACGCATGCATATCCAGAGTTCGCAGACATACGAAATCGCTGATTCTGCCTTTAAAGGGAAGTTCGCATACGGGGAAATGACAACATCATGAACAGTCCGGTGTAAATTGGAAAATAGCAAAAATAAAGGCTAACACTTACTGAATGTTTATGCTGGAAACAAGCATGATCTAATGTCTTTAAAGTTAGTGAACTTCAACAGGGAGATATTTCACAAGGGCTGAAAACTCCAGCAATGAGGCTGAATAGGATGATATACAGTATAGCGCTTAAAGACACGTGTTTAGAATAAAAACGACCTGGGTTTAAATGGGGTTCTGTTGCTTACAAGCTTCTCTGGAACCCTTCTGAGCATCCGCTGCATCATCCACCCAACCATTTGGTTCTAAGAACTAAGATGATGAATGTAAAACACTCAGTTCAGTGTTTTACATACAATAAGTGCTCAAAATTTACAGCTTTCAATATCGCCCAAAAAACACAGATAATGAATCTCATTCTGAATTTACCTACTTATCAGACTTCTACCTCTGAATCTTTTTTTGCCCCTTTTCGCTGAAGTGTATCTATGTGCATGGTATTAGAAAAGTATTTTCCCATGAAAGTTCCAAACGACAGACAGCTTAGACTCCCCCACATCCGATGAGTAGGTATCTACATATGTGCCAAGCACATCACTGAGGTCTGTGGGGATGAGAAGAAATTAAGGACTGGGCTAACCCTTGCAGAAAGTTAATGAACTTGAGAAGGGGAGAATGTATTCATTCAACAAGTATTTGATGCCCGTAAAGCACTGTTAAAATTTTTGGAAGAAGTGAAAGACAAAAGGGAGTTACAAGGCAAACCATGCCAAACTCCTTATAAATACATCAGTATTCTGACAATAGGAAAGATCCATGAGAACTGAATGAGTCGAGGTAGGGTTTGGATAGTGAATATGAACTGGATACACCAAAAGGAAAAAATATTCTAGGAAGAGAGATGTACAAAGGCAAAAGGGCAGAACTAAGCATGGCATGTGGGAAGCGGGGTGCAGCGCAGAAGAGAGCATTTATTAAACACTCATTAAGAGTCGATCGTACTTGTGAGTGCACTGACCACGTTACAGCCCTCATTTAACTTTCTACAATTGGGAGTAGCAGAATGAATGTGAAGCATGTTGAACAGTTCTGGCACGTAGCAGGCTCCAAAGAAGCAATATGTCATTATTATTAATGAATAAGAACATTCTCTAACTGGAGAAAAGAGTATACATTATTAGTAATTCACTCAATTGGAATAAGTATGGAAAGGGTGAATTATACCCATAATCAGGGAAAGCAGCCTGAACCGTAAAATGACTGTTGGCTTCGGAACAGAGGATTTTAAAAAAATGTATCTTTATTGTTGAAAGTATTACAGATGTTTCCTTTTTCCCCCCCTTGATTCCACCCCCACCCCACCCCACCCCCTCCCCCAGGCCTTCACCACACTACTGTCTGTGTCCACAGGTTATGCATATATGCATATAAATTATTTGGTTAATCTTTCCCCATTCACCCACCCACCCACCCACCCCTGCCTTCCCTCTGAGATTTGTCAGTCTGTTCCATGCTTCTATGTCTCTGGATCTATTTTGTTGATCAGTTTGTTTTTTTCATTAGATTCCACATATGAGTGAGATCACGTGACACTTGTCTTTCTCAGGCTGGCTTATTTCGCTTAGTATAATGCTCTCCAGGTCCTCTCCAGGTCCTTCCATGCTGTCTCAAAGGGTAAGAAATCCTTCTTTTCTACTGCCGCATAGTATTCCATTGTGTAGGTTTTTTTTATCCACTCATCTACTGATGGTCACTTGGGCTGTTTCCAGATCTTAGCTATTACAAATTGCACCGCTATGAACATAGGGGTACATATACAGTATTCCTTCTGATTGGTATTTCAGGTTTCTTAAGATATATTCCTAGAAGTGGGATCACTGGGTCAAATGGCAGTTTCATTTTTAATTTATTAAGGAAACTCCATACTGTTTTCCATAACGGCTGCACCAGTCTGCATTCCCACCAGCAGGCCACTAGGGTTCCCTTTTCTCCAGATCCTCACAACACTTGTCATTTGTTGACTTGTTGATGGGAGCCATTCTGACAGGTATGAGGTGATACCTCATTGTCGTTTTAATTTGCATCTCTCTGATGATCAGTGACTTTGAGTATGTTTTTATATGTCCCTTGGCCATAATCCAATTTAAAAATGGGCAAAGGACTTAAACAGACACTTCTGCAAAGTGCACATACAGATGGCTAGAGGATATTTTTTAATGTTCCAAAAACCTGTTCGAAGAAGCCAGTAATATATGGGGTACTTTGAGAACGAAGAGATAGAGGTATAATATGCCAACTAAAGGCTGGGAGAGGAACTCGAGCTAGAAGTGGCGAGGAACCAGATCAGGTGCCTGCTGTGTTGACAGATGAGTAGCAGGGAATTGAAGAGACAGTTTTTTGGAAAACAAAGGGAGAAGAATTAAAAGTGACATAAGGTTTACATCAATGCTTTTTTTTTCTACCCCCTCTTCCTCTCTCTAAGCATGTCCTTGCATGAGAATAAAAAAAATAAAAAAGAGGGAGTATGT